ATATATATATATATATATATATATATATCTATGTATGTGTATGTATCATCTATCTATCTATCTATCTATCTATCTATCAATCTATTAAATTTTATTAAAATAATTTATTAATCATATCATAGTCATAGTAATGATGACTATTTTGATAATAATGATGTTAGCGCTAATAATAGTAATAAAACTTAATAATACAATAATTAAGAAATAATAATGGATAACCAATAATCTAATAATATAATAATTAATAGGGATAATAATGATAATGATAATAGTAATAATGATGATCATGATAATAATAATGATTTTAATAGTAATAGTAATAATAATAATGATAATGATAACAATAATATTGATAGTGATGATAACAGCAATACTAATAGAAATTACGACAATAACAATAATCATGATGATAACGATAGTGATAATAATAATAATAATAATAAAATAACCGTAATAGGATAAGATAACGGAAAAGAATGCAATGATAATAACAATAAGAATAATGATAGTAATAATAATATTGATAATATTGGTAATAATAATGATAATAATGATGATGACAACAACAATAATATTGATTAATAACAACAGTGATAATAGTGATAATGATGATGATGATGCATTTATGTATTTTCATGCTTTGACTATCAACAGAATCAACATTCAATCGTCTCATTTCTAAATTTCGTTTTATACAGTATAATGCTCTACTAATATTTTTTTTTTATATCTATGTTGTTTTTCCCTGTTTTAATATAATCGTCTTATATTTCGTATTATCCAGTGTAAAGGATATCTAATACATTTTATCTTTTTATGTATATATTTTTTCCTTTTCTTTTTTTTCTAGATTTTTTTCTTTTTTTTTCTTTTTTCCCCTTTTCCCATTTTTCGGTAAGCAGATTAAGCTCGCAATAAAATCCAATACCTGGTTTACTCTGTCATCGAAGAATTTCAATCTAAGCCAAGGGGACAAAAAGTCTCGACTGCTGTGGTTTCGGTTAACAAGAGATGATTGGGATCAGATTTCAAATGAGTCACGTAACATAATCTACCCCTTTCCGAGTCTCACAGATTTGGTAACGTGTCTTCATTACTCCCTGAGAATAATCTGTAAAAAAAACACAAAAAAACTCGATGAAACAAAGTATTTAATATATAAGCCAACCCACCCATAGCGTATATCTTTACCTTTAAAGTCTTCTCGAAAGAAGTAAATAAAGATACATGTTTGGAAAAAAGAAGAGTCTTGTTCACAGTATCGATTTACGTTTAAAAATTCCTCTGTCACATCAGCACAACCCTTATAAATGCTGGCAGAAGGTATTGCTTCCACGTGTCCCCAACAAAGCCCGTGCGTGGGGGGCTCTGGCGGAGATTTCGATGCCGCGGAGATAGCTATCCGGGAACATTCAATCGACGTCAGTTTTTTTTTTTTTTTTTTTAATCTTGATAATGTTGCTGTTTTCTGCCCGTCTTGCTTCTTGTTGTGTGCGTAAAGGTACGTGTGTATTTTGCTTTTTTATCTTTTTATTTTTTGTTTTCTTTTATCTCTTCTCTCTTTCTCTTTTTCTAGTTTTCGGCATTATTGCTCGATTGCTCTTGAAAACGAGTCGAGGCTCTTGAACTGAAGACGTGATAAACAGTTTTATCCATTACGGAAATGAGAGAGAGAGAGAGAGAGAGAGAGAGAGAGAGAGAGAGAGAGAGAGAGAGAGAGAGAGAGAGAGAGAGAGAGAGAGA